GGCACACGGTGCCCAGCGCGGCGACGGCGTGCCATATCGCCGGGTCGGAGAGGCAGAACCGCGGCACCTCACGAAGCCAGAACTCGGAGCCGAAGACGCCCGAGATGGAGGGGGCGGCAACCTGGAGGAAGTAGCTGTACACCTGGAGCTCGTCCGGGTCCTTGTGAGGCAGCAGGATCCTCGTGGGCGTGACGGAGGCGATGGCAGACGGAGAAGCCGGTGATAATCTCCGGGGGCGGATCTGCAGCTGGCGGGATTCAGGCGCGGACGGGGAAGTGGATGAGGATGAGGATGATCCGGGGGTCGACTGAGACTTGGTGGCCGGCTGGGCGTAGCCGTCACATTTGCGGCCGGTAGAGACGCAGCGATTGCACGCAGGTTTCTGCTGGTCGCAGCGAACTCGTCGGATTCTTCAGGCGGTCGTGCGTCAGTCTCACTTCAGGCGTTGTGAGGGATTTGGGCGTCAGTCTTACTTGCATGTGAGGCACCCCGTCTTCACTTTACGGTGATACGCCTTGGTCGGGGCTGGGCGACTCTGTTCGGCCATGTATAAGGCTCCTCGGACTGATATACTTGGTACTGACCCAAGAAGAGACTCGGTTCTGGATGTCAGGCCATGCGCGTCATCCTACCGACGAGCTGAGGGGGCTTGTTTCGCATGAGCTGAGAATTGAGATATACCTGTTTGATGAGTCAGCCGTGGGTGATGTCCAGCATCACATCACCATTTGAGGAATGGCCAGAGAAGGAAGAGAACTCTCAGTATAGTATTCCAAAAGTTATACGCTATTATTTTCATGTCCTCTAGGAAGTGGCTTCCCACTGGTAAAACTGTCAGACTAAACGCCGCATTGATGCCTCTTGATAGATACGCCAGTAGATCATCATCCCAACGCCAACGCACAAACCAAACCAATAATCAACCCCAGGTGCCGCCACCGCCACCCCTTCCGCCTCTTCTCTGCGCACTCAGTCTCCAGTCGTCCTCGCCGGCAAACTTGTTGTACAGCGGCTGGATCCTCTCAGCCTCCTTCCTCTTGCTCAGTCGGTCGGTAGGCGCCACCTTGAAGAAGGTCGGCGCCGCCTCGACCAGCCACTTGGGCTCGATGCTCGTTGTGTATCGCATGTACTCCTTGCTGGTCAGCACAAGCTCGTGATAGATGACCCACTCCGCCTGCTTCCCAAAGAGCGCCGAGCTGGGGTGCAGGTAGACGGGCGTGCCTTCGATGAGGGTCTTGTAGCCCTCCTGGGGGTCCTTGCGGGCGGCATGGCGGAAGAAGCCAGAGCAGAGAGCCTGCCGGAGCTTTTGCGTGTTGCGTCCGCAGGAAACGATGGGGTGTTTGTGGCGCTTCATCGTCTCCTCGAGCTGGTTGCGAATATCCTTGGCAAGGCGCATGGATCGAGCCTGGATGAAGTTCTCAAAACACCAAGGGTTAGAATATCCGCTTTGCCTCCATGAGTTGTACACATTCATGATGGTGAGATGGTCACCGTGAGGATCGTGGAACTTGGCCTTCTTCTGGTCGGCCTGTGTCTGCTTCTCTTTTGGTCGGTAGAAGACAGTAGTAAGGTTCAGCATAGCAACGATTGTCAGCATCTCATCGGAGCATTCGTAATCCACGGCAGCAATCAGAGCCTTGGCAAGGGTAGGGTCCATAGGGAAGTCCGCCATTCTCCTGCCAAGGCGGGTAAGTAAACCCTCGTCATCAAGCGCACTCAAAGCGTAGAGTTCTTCCAACGCAGTAAGCATAGTGTTGATGGGCGGGGGGTCCATAAAGTCGAAATGGAGCAGGTCGTTGATACCCATTGCCTTGAGCATAAGAATTGTGACAGACAAATTCCGTCGCTGGATTTCAGGCATTGTAGTTGGTAACATCTCAGACTCGTACGCTGCCTCTGTGTAGAGTCGGAAGCACTTCCCTGGGCCAGTTCTTCCGGCTCGGCCAGACCGCTGATTAGCTTGTGCCTGGGAAATCGGCGTGATGACAAGCGAATCCATTCCCAGCTTGGGGTCGTATGCATTCTGTTTGACAAAGCCGGGGTCAACAACATAGTAGATTCCATCAATTGTGATGGACGTCTCCGCAATATTGGTTGCAATGACCACCTTGCGAGACCCTTCTGGGGCCGGTTCGAAAATGCGGGCTTGCATTTCTGGCGGCAGCGCAGCGTACACGGGTAGGATAACCAGATCTGGGACATTCGGCCCAAGTGCCTTCATTCGCTCGTAAAGGATCTCGCAGGCCGTGTCGATCTCTTCTTGTCCCGTCAAGAAGAGCAGTATATCACCCTTTGGTTCTGTGAGATGAATCTGCATGACCGTCACGAGAGCTGAATCAAGGTAATCAGATTCGGGTTCTCGAGAGTACAGAACCTCAACAGGGAACGTTCGTCCAGGGATAGTGAGGATAGGACACTCGAAGAAGTAGTCGGAGAATTTCTCTGCATTGAGCGTCGCAGACGTGACGATGACTCGAAGATCCGGTCGTCGCTTCAAGGCCTTCTTGAGCAACGCAAACAAGACATCAGTAGCAATGGTACGCTCGTGCGCCTCGTCAAGCATGATGACCGAGTATCGGTTGATGTCAGGGTCCATAAGAATCTCACGCTGGAGCATTCCGTCCGTCATGTACTTGATCCTCGTCGCAGGACTAGTGCGATCCATGAAACGAACACTGTAGCCGACCTCTTCTCCCACTTTACATCCAACTTCCTCGGCGACACGTTCTGCGACTGAGACAGCGGCCACTCGACGGGGCTGAGTGCACCCAATTATTCCGTCGTTCGCAAAACCAGACTCGGCGAGGTACTGCGTTAGCTGTGTGGTCTTTCCTGAACCTGTCTCTCCTACCACAATAAGGACCTGGTTGTCCTTCACTGCCTGGATAACCTGGCTTCGGAAAGCAAAGACAGGCAGACTCTCCCGCTGATCCTTGATGCTCATGTTGGTGCGCTTGATAGGCATAAGGGGAGTTTTGCTTTCCACAGCCCTCTTCCATTCTGGCACCTCGCCTGACTTGCTGTTCATCCTAGCAGTTCTCAGATCAGAGGCGAACTTGCGCTGGTCGGCATCCATCATGGGATCTTCCCACTGAGACGCAAGGTTCTCCTTTGGCGCCTCCCGTGCAGCAGCATCGGATTCTTGCTGCTTCAGCTCCTTTCTCTCCTTCGCTAAAGAAGTACCGGACATCGCGGCTCGGTTCATAGAGCCATCAGGTGCCTTGATAACCCGAATAGGAGACAGTTCAAGCGACTGCTTGGTCTGACCGGCAAGGAAAGGTGGTTCCTCCTCACGAACTTCGATATCCACGTCTTCTTCAAGCTCCATCATATCTCCTTCGCCACGCAATGTGGCATGATAGTCCTCCTCGAGATCAGGGTAGTCAGAGGCTTTGGCGACGCCTGATGCAATGAGCTGACGGATCTCCCATCGTTCAGGGGATGTCATCCTCTTCTTCTGCTTCTGTGGGGGGCCCAAAGTATCTCGTGGCATGGCCGAGGCAGTACCATTCTGGAAACCATTCCGTGCGCCGCCACCCAGAGCTTCCATGTTGGCGCCAGTTGTGAGTCTGGCCTGTGGCTCCAGATCCATTCCTGTACTTTGGTCCACGTCCTTCATCGACAGACCGACCCTTGATCCTTCAATGCTGATCACCTTGACCCAGACGTCCTGGCCCTTAGATACCAAGTCGGAGGGGTGGTTGACTCGCTGCCCGGAAATGAGCCTGGAAACATGCACGAGGCCATCGACCTTGCCCCTGACGTTGTGTATATTGACAAATGCGCCAAAATCCTTCAGTCCCGTGACATGGCCAGGATAGACCTTTTGAAGAATCGGCGCATCATCGATCTCTGCGGGAGGAGCCCGATCATAACCACCCATGGTCTCGTCCTCGTCGTCGTATCGCCTGCGGCCGCGTCGTGACTTTCGCTCGTCTTTGAACCCTTCCCTCCAATCCTCGTCGCCTCTGTCTTGCGATCGTGACCGCGATCGAAACCTATCTCGCTTCCTTCGGCCCCGAGAATGTGAGCGGTCGCGCCTCTTCCTCCGGGACTCGTCCTTTGAATCTCTTTCTGGTCTCGGACTCCTGCTGCGCTTCCTGGAATCCCCCGACCCCCTCGCCTTGCTCTCGAGACCTTCCAGTAGCGCCAGTGTGTCGTCAATCGCGTCGCCTCCACTGCCGCTCTCGGCAGGCTTGTCGGGAAGCGCCAGTCCGCTGAAGACTTGCTCCTTCTCCTCCATGGTCCGAACATGGTGTTCTGGCTCGGCCGGTGCCGATTTCTTGCCCTTCATCTTGGGATGCATGGCGCACACGAGGCGGTCTATACTATCCACCAAGCTGGGAGGGAAATCGGCGCCCAGGCCGTCGAGCTTCTTGCGGAAGACATCGGGGGTGTCGCTCTCGATGCGCTGGGAGATGAGGAACTCGGCGAGGGTCTTGTCGCTAATGCCCACATGGTTCTGCAGTTCCGACGTGACCTTGGAGACCAGCGAGAGAAGCTCAAGGTTCATAAGATCATCCATCTTGAGATATGCAGCCCCTGCCGACGGGGTTGTAGATCCTAGATGGAAGTTGTTGGTGGTTGGAAGCTAGAAATTGTTCCAGCGCAGCGGGTGGAGCCGAGAACGCCTTTCTCAAAGAATTTCCGTCGCGACTCGCTCACCGAGGTATGACCGCATTCACCGAGAACAGGCTTTCGGTGTGTTTCGGTAAGAGCTCGGGTCATCTACCCATGCAGGTGACCAGCCGGAGCCAATCGCAGGCGAATCAAGCGCGGCCATTACGCAACCGAAGCACCGCCACCACCGCTAACCGAGCACTACAGCCAAACCCTTCTGAAATCCGTCATGGGTCCGCCCCAAGTCCACAGCCTTACTCTATCCTGCCCTTTGCCACAGGCACTTCCATCCTACTTCATCCTCACTCAATCTCTCGACAAATCTACAAAAACTACATCTTCAATTCCTCTCTATTTGCGAAAACCGCAGCCCAGCCACGATGTGTTCCAGCGACCTCTTCCTGTGCGTCCTCGCCATCCTCTTCCCGCCTCTACCTGGTACGTATTCCCATCCCACCCCGCTGCCTGGCGTGATCCCCGACGTCATGCTCAACGCTAGAATAAACAAATCCCCATTCATTGTACGAAAATGCTAATTAGGTGTCCCCAAAACAGTCTGGGTGAAGCGCGGCATCTGCAGCGCAGACTCCATCATCAACATCCTCCTCTGCTGCCTCGGCTTCATCCCGGGCCTCATCCACGCCTGGTACATCATCGCCAAGTTCCCCGACCCGGAGTACGACTACGACCCCGTGCCCCAGGACGCCGAGGGCGGCCGCGTCCGCTACATCGTCATCGACCGCCACCACTGCCAGCACCCCAACAACAAGTCCCAGGGAAGCAGCCGACCGGCCCCGAACAACAACGTCAACTACGGCACCGCCAACGCCAGCTCCGCCCAGCAGCAGCAGCAGCAGAAGCCAGCCCACGCGCCTCAGCAGCAGGGCCTTGCAGACGCTGCCGAGGGGAGCAGCTCGAACAACCAGGGCGTACCCCCCTCATATGCCGAGGTGGTTGCTGGCGACAACAAGATCCAGAGCCACGACTAGACAAAGGGCCTGTTTCGGGGGGGGTGTGGGCTGGCGGTAGTGTTTCGCAAGTCTCCATTTTATGGCCAAACCCTCACTCGTGATTTTGTCCCTTTTCTTTGTTTAGTCTGACACTACTTGAATACTGCACATGCACAGTAGAGGATTGCTTCTTTTTAATTTGTCGGATGGATAAGGCGTTAGGAAAGTACCAGTGTGTGAAGCTACCTTGGTGCTGAGTGTATGATAGCACGTATGAAATGTTTTGATTTATCGCAATATCACCCAACCACCTACCACTATCTTGCTCTCTATCGAATATTCCGCACCAATTTTACCGCAACCGTGATCTTTTGCCGACCGTGACAAAACCACAACTCCGTCACAGTAATAACTCTCATTGACCCATCTCACTCCTCACTGCCCTCCTCGTTCTCCTGGTCCAATGTGTGGATCGATGGCCCGGGTCGCTCACTGAGCCTGGGAGGTTTGAAGTGTTTCATCAACTCCTGGGGCAAAAACGTCCAGAAGGACGGGTAGACGGTTCCAGCCATCCTGATGTACCGGAAACCCGTGTTGAGCTCGCCCACATTCAGCTTCAGCTTCATGCCCGGTTTCATGAGCGCAAGGAGGGCATCGTCAAAGTACAGTGTCATCTGGTCCTCGGGGAACGGCCTCGGCATTGAGGGGTTGACCAAGTCGCTTTCAATCGTCGTGGGAACGAACGTCGCCCTGCCGATTGGGTTCAGTCCAAGGGACGAGTCGTTGATACGGAGCGACTCGAACCTCTTGGCGAAGCGCTCTTCTGGGCGATGGATGCTGACAATTTCGACATCGCAGAAGAAGGAATGGACCTCTTTGGGGTGGCCAGTGGAGTGTTGGGCGAACAAGGCATCGTTCTCCAGCAGCGCCAGTGAGCTCAGGAAGTCCACTTTCGCATTGTCCAAGGTCTCCTGGTCTACCTTGTCCTCACCACTCTCCTCGTCAGCTTCATCAACACAGAACGAGTTGAAGGCGGCATGGTTGAAGTTTCCAGGCAGCTTCCGCTGCAATAGATCGACGGCAGCCCACTCGGATCTGGCATCCAAGCAGAGCTGCATGGCATTCCTGACATCATCCTCGTACTCTGGGCACACATCATGCTGAAGCACGTAACGCAGGAAGTTCTCGACAACACTAGCCGCCTTGTCCAACATGGCCGGTTCTGCACCGGTGAGTTCGAGTATGGGGTTGGAGAAAAACCCGGCGGCGACGCCGGTGAAGTCGACGACCCACCGCTCCTTGTCGCCGTCATAGAAACGGTCGCCGACGGACTTGGCCACATCGTGCGACATGGCCTCCCGTCGCTGAGCAGGCGTGAGTTCTTTGAGAGCCTTCGGATCGCGTCCTCTAAACTGCGCGGGGCTCGTGTCAATACCGCCTAGGAAGAGATATTCGTTGAGGTAGCGTGAATGCTCGGTCTGGATTCGGCGGCGACTGCGGAAACGGTTGATGCAGTTCTCGATACGCCTACATCAGTCAGTTGGATGTTTCACTATCAATAGTTGCGCGAGGTAGCTACGTACTGTTCAAAAGGAAGTTCCCTGTGTGCCGCAAATTCGTCCAAGTCAGTCATCCGATGTTCAGCATGCTCGGTTTTGGGTCACTCACTCCGAATAGATCTCCTCCTTCTCCTGCGCAGCCTCTGCCGGGGTCATGGGAGGGTCTGCAAAGTACTCTGGTTGCCATCAGAAAGAAGCTCGTCGAACATCGGAAAGGAAAACTCACCCTCAAATCCTGTGCCACGGTTACTGGGGAGGGCGGTTGGTCCTCTGGCCGCCTGACTCTTCTGTGCACGAGCCTTCTTCGTGCTCGTAGAAGCTGCTGTTGAACCATTTCCGAATGCTTCTTCGACGGAGTAACCCTGGCCTTCGTAGTCAGATTCGTCGTCGCCTTCTGCGTCACTGTGGTTGAAGTCATTTGCTGGCGGGATGTCACGACGCATTTTGGCAAGTGGCACAGAATGCAAAATTTCGAAGCTTCTGATACGCGTCTCGGGATTTGTGGTGGTGGGAAGGTGCAAAGAAGGAAAAGTGAGGTTGTGCGCAGGGAGGCAGGTCACGAGGCAAGAGCGAAGTTACGGGAGAAAAGGAGCGGCGGGATTATTGTTTGTCTTTGAGCACCTTTCGCACTCGGGCCACCAGAATGGAACGAGAGAGAAGGCAGTCGTTTCTTCCTTTTTTTTCCTTCTCTTTGTCCATGCAGCACGGGACTTGTTTAGAAACTCGAGTGGCTACGCACGCAGCCGTCGACGGTTGCACAGGGGCAATTTACACAACGCACGCAGGCGCCCTTTATGTGTTTGATGAACAGGACGCTCCAAGGCAGAGCGCATGCACCTGGTCGACCTGATGGAATTTGCACACCTCCGTCCAATACTTGGTAGCCTTCATGTTGAAGCTGAACGATACGGGTAAGGTTGAGTTTCATCCCAGGAGAATTTGCGCAGTGCTTGCCCTAAAGCAGACAGTTGAGGACTACCCATTAATATCAACGTCCAGGTAGAAGACAATACTTCCCATATCTTACGAGTCAAATATACAAGAGCAACAAGATTCACATGTGCAATATACACATGCTGTCTGCCAACTCACCACTGAGCTAGACAGCATCACCAGACCGGTGGTGGAGAACTTCGGTGATACAAAGCAGGGTGAGGCTTCCCGCATTAGTCTCCGTTGTGTGTCGAAACAAATAGACAGCAGGGTTGCAATTTGCTCTTCCACTTGCCGGCCGCATGTGCAAGATAGGCTCCTTGCATTGGGCTGAGATTGCGTGTTCGAATGAGATGTGGATGGCAACACACATGCATACACCCCGGTCTTGGTTGATCTTCCGAGATACAAAGCAACCTAGGGCTGTGCCACGGTATCCACGGCCATTTATGCGAGGCATAGCAGCGTCGACACTACTATGTACGCACCCGATATAGACACGCAAGCCCCGACGCCATCTTGGTGTAGAGCCAGGGAGGTGGTACGAGTGCACAAGTCGGGTAAAATGAATCGACGACCCCCCGATGATGACCTGCTTGTCCTGGGCTGCAGGTCAGCAAGGGCCCAGCCTAACTACGCAAGGCGGTAGACGAGCCGTTTTGCAAGGTGCACGTACGTACGCCGTTGCCAACCAGATGCTCACCGCTGCGTCTGCATCCACAGCTCCATCCACTGCGTCGGAGATGGAGGTGTGTCCAGCGCCCAACACGAGACGAGTTGCAGCAAGTGTGGTGCGTTGGTGGGTGATGTGCAGCTGACGCTGGTGAGCACAAGAGGAAATCTGATCTCAACACTCAAACGCGATGCAAGCCCATGCCACGCGATGCAGTGCCAGTCTCATCCCATCTACTGCGTGGCGAGTGGCTGGCTGTAGGCATGGATGGGAGTCGGTAATGCCAAGCTTATGGGCCTTCGGCACAGCAGCCCGAACGACGGACGCCAAGGGCCCGAGGGGGAGGGCTGGTCTAGCTGGAGGCCAGCTGAAGACCTGATAGAAGGCCGGTAACAGAGATTGGCGCGAATGAAAATCTGCCTCGAGTAAGCCAGCTGCTCATCACGGGTGAGCGATCAAATCAAGAATCAAGCACGGTGCAAGCGGTGGCTGAGCAGAGTGACAACCCGAACCCGTCGGCAGCTCAGCCACACGCCAATATCTGGCTGTTTAGCGCCCGTCGTGGCCGTCACCCGCTAGCAGCAGCGCCCTAAATGCAGCTGGAGGGCCTACAAGGGACAGGTTACAGCCCTGTGGCGGGGTAGACAAAATAAAAAGGAGACCAGGATGAGGTACATTGTGCGGGTGTGTCGATCACAAGTCTCTTGCATTGGCAAGTTTCAGGGTATTCTGAAGAGAAAGGGAGGATGCGAAGAGTTGTTTGTTTTCCGGTCATATTTTACACAAGGCAAATGTGCGTTGTTGTCGATCGGGCTGTCATCCGCATGCCAGTGCTGCGTCTTGTGGTGTGTGGCACACTTTCTGTCACCGGCAAGCAATTACTCAAAATGAGCATCTGCTAATATCAGCTCCATTAAGGGCAGCAGGTAACGTTTTCAGGGCTGGAGGGTAGCGCAGGCACTCCGCCCCCACGTTACCTGCAGTACCGCGTACCAGAACAGTCATCGAAAAATCGCCATCTTTGGTTGGCGATGAGACCCGGACGGCCAGTGGCGCGGGGAGGCGACTTTGCTCATTGTGGTATCTTTGACGTCGTGCCGACCAGGTCATGTTGAAACGAGCCAAGGCGTCCGCGTGTCTGGTTGGCTGCGTCTGCTATTCAGGGACCATGGATTGCACCCCTTGATCAGAGGGCAGCCCCATCTCTTCGAAACCGCCTAGCTAGCGCCGCCTCTTTGTGCAATTCCCCTTCGACTCTCGCAACTGCGGTCCCTCGACCACCCGCAGTAAATTCGGACTATATAGACCCGGCTGGAATCCCCATGGCATATCCACCATTCAGCCCATCCGCGCCCAGTTCAATTCAAATACCGTTCGCCTCTTCTTCCATTTCCCCCTTCCCTCCAGGCAACCACCCACACCCAGCGCCTTACAGAGTGGTTATCATCGCCTTATCGCTACGCTACTCTCCCCACTAATACAAGTGCACCCCTCCCCCGCCTCCTTCAACCTCAGCCCTTCAAATAAATTTATCACAACCACAACCATGGTCGTCGACCCTCAATCGTTAAAAAGTTACGGCCATGCCGCCGCCGGCCAGTAAGTGTATTTCTCCGCGCAATTGCGCAATGGTGCGCGCCATTGATTTGCGTGCGCCGCGGCGAGTCGCAAACCGCTAACCTCCCGCCCGCTGTAGTGCTGGCACCATGTCCGATGAGGATGGCAAGCTCTTCATCAAGCCCTGCGTCCAGGCCGAGATCGACTTCTATGAGACCGCTAAGCGCGATCACCCCGAGCTCTCTGATCTGATGCCTGAATACATGGGCACCCTTTCGCTGAGCACACTCGACGAGGCAAGCGAGGCTGTCGCGGCCGTCGTGTCCGACAACGACAACGTCAAGACCGACAAGGACCAGATCACCGCCGCTGTCAGCAAGCAGATTTCTGCGGGCAACGCCGCCCCCGAGACGGCCCCTGCCGCAGAGAACGAATGGGTTCCCACCAAGGGTGGCAAGATCAGCACTAACAAGGCTGTCGTCTTGGTGAACAACACATACGGCTTCAAGAAGCCCAATATCCTCGATGTCAAGCTTGGTGTACGCCTATGGGCGGACGATGCCCCAGAGAAGAAGAAGGCCAAGTTTGACAAGATCTCGGAGGAGACGACGCATCGCAACTTTGGTTTCAGAATTGCCGGCATGCGCATGTACAAGGGTTCTGACAACCCAGCCGACTTGGACGACGAAGACTACCGAGTATATGATAAGGACTACGGCCGCTTCGCCGTCAACGACAACAACCTAGTCTCGGAGTTCCGCCACTTCGTCTTCAACAAGAACGCCGGAATCGACAAGGAGCTGGGCCAGGCCGTCTGCAAGGCCTTCGTCCAGACAGTCGACAACGTTGAGGAGGTTCTCAGTCAGAACGAGACCCGCATGTACTCCGCCTCCCTCCTCTTCGTCTTCGAGGGCGACGGCAAGGCCCTCCGCAGTGCCATTGAGAAGAACAACTCCATCGTCGATAGCGTTTCCGACAGGCTCCTAACAACTAAGCGTGTGGACAGCGGCATCGCCATCGAGGACGAGGAGTCCGACGAGGATCTAACAGAGAGCGCGATGAACTCGCTTCCCCCCATCTTCTCAGTCAAGCTGATCGACTTCGCACACGCCACATGGGTGCCTGGGCAGGGCCCAGACGAGAACATGCTCAAGGGTGTGCGCAGCGTCCGCAATATCTTCCAAACTCTAGCAACCGAATAAACCAAAAAGGGAAAGAAAAAGAAAAATACAGCAAAAGAGTCAAGCGATAGAAAAAAGGCTTTTCGCGAGAATTTTCAAAGGAGCTTTAATGACATGATACACATTGCTTTCTTCGGCCCCTCATCACTTGGAGCAAAGAGAAACAGGTTTTCAAGCTTTACGTGCTTTTTTTACCCATAGCCAGGACTCATCAAAGCGGCGGCGTCAAAGACAGATATCCCATATCGCGAGGCGGCGTGGAGTGTGCAGGTTACCTCGCTTTCTGCCCTCTGGTATTTTTAATGGTGTTTATCAGCTTCATGATTAGAGCTTGGGTAGTCTATCAGGTGTTACGATGTTTATGACAAATTTATAGTTTAGCATTTGATTCAATAATTTCTTCCAGTCTAGCCTTGATCACTATATCCTCTTGTGGCCACTTACTCTAGCCGTTTCATCTTCCCTCCATGAAACCTCAGTGAACAGAGTTTATCCTCAGCCTCGTTCAGTTGAAAGCCTCATCCAGTTGAAGTCCAAAGATGACATCTCATCGCCTTTTTTGTCTATCTACCCGGAGGTTTCCCTCCAGCCGACATGCAAGGTTTGCCGCCAGCATTAGTCGCTCCTAAAAGCACGCCGGCGGGCTTAGAGCAAACCTTGGTCCAAGGTAACACACATTTGCAACGGGCACACGTCATTTGAGACACCTATCACGTAGATTTCGCCAAGATGGCTCTTTTATCTTGGCGTTGTATTGTAATACAATTATCTCCGTCAAACAAGTTAATCTCAATATGCTATTTGCACCCCCGTTTACCATCGTCCCTTGATGTTACAGTTCTAATGACGCGCGTATGAGCGCGAAGTATCTGATGGGAGTGCGGGTCACATTGATACAGTCTAGATAGTTTGGATTCTTGTCAGAGGGTGTTGGTTCCATATTGGTTCCAGACGACGCGGCCTTCCGAACACCAACATGGCTCAAGGGCAAAGGCGGTGCTTCGTACCCCTTGGAAACGTAACCAGAATCACACCAATCAAACATGCCTTGTTGAATATACAGATGCAATACACTGAATTCTGCACTGTGGGAAGGGAATTATAGCAGAATGTGTCTGCTACGGAGCTTGGTTGGCCTTTCACCATCCTGTAGCCTCCAGTACATCACACTTCAGACAGCAGCCCCAAGATATCCTCCTCAATAAGCACAAGCCCCTTAGGAAATCTGCCTGCAGGACAAATCTGCCATGGTATTTTTCAGCCAATACCCACCTACATGACGACCCAACGAGCTGAATGTGCTAGCAACATCGCTACCAACAGCAGCCTCCACCGTAATCAAGACTCATGCAGGTAGCCAATATCCCAAATCACAGCCTCAGTCGGCGCCATCCCCAGGGCCTTTCCTCGCAAGTAGTCGATCGGTGGTGAGGAGCATGATCATTGACGGACGGCCTTTTCGGACCAGTCCAGACTCCGGCCTGCCGCATTCACGGCCCCCCTCTGCCGAGACATCCCTAGCTAGTGGTCGAGAACGCACGCCCCTGGTAGGTATAGCACATCACAGTCAATGTGTAGGGAGATGTCTAGAGTGACTGTGTCTCCCAATTCATGAACCAGCATCGTGGGGTGCCTGGGGGTGGTGAGTCCATGACTGAGGCTGTGCAAACACTCGCCAACCTCGTCCACACTTGGACCTAGACGGCCGTAGCCCAATTGCGCGAGCACGGCATCACATCACCATGCATGATTCCATGAGACCTTTGTGTCGTCCTCGATACCGAAACCCTCTCGGCCGAACTAGACACCTTAAACACATCACAGCCGGCGGCTGCAATGCCCAACCAGGACATATCTACATATATCCACCCGCGATGTGTCAATCTCAGTCAAGGGCCTTGCCGGTTTTCCGTCCAAAATGCCAGTGGTTCAATAAAGCAGGAGTAGAGGACGCGAGGGCGGCCTGAACCTGACCCAGATCGCTCGAGGTATCAGCACAGTAGGACCGTGACACGCCGTTGACTGTACAGCGAGTCTGTATGGTTTCGCCAAGCGGTTTTGCCAAGTCGTTCGCTCTAGGCCTGTTCGTCGGGGATTATTATTTTGGGGAAGATTTGATGTCTTGGAGACGCGTGCGCCGCCTTGGACTTGAGAGAAGTGAGGCGTGCATCAATAGTGGATTTTGTTACTTTGAGGCGGATGTGAGGCGGTTAGACAAAGGCTGCCCCTGTTAAGCCCTGGAATGAATTGCTAGACTATAGCTTCTATGATATCCTTACTGTAGGATTTAGATGCTAGGTTGGGTACCGGGTATATCCTGTTATGAATAGATGAGCTTCACGGCATGGATTAAAGTTCGAGAGGTCAACTAGATCAGTGTGCATGGTCTAGGGTAGGCAGATGGCTCCAATCGCACAGCTCCAACTTTAACGAGCTACAGCTCCCCACCGAGAAAAGAAACGCGATCCTAGACTTTCCATTGTTCACCAATCCCATGTAGACGGCCATGTCGATTCCAGGCTTGGGCCAGATCCCGCAACAGGTAAGCCGCCCATCTGCTCCTCCTCACCAAACAACAGAACCACATGTCTCTCCCGCCGGTCTCAAGCGAGGAACACCAAGCTGACAGAGTCCCAGCCCGAGACCGCTTCTACCCGCATCGTCGCCCTCCGACCAGGCTGGGAATGGCGCTTCCACGCCCCCACGGCCTCGCCCCTCGTCATCAAGATCGTCTCCGGCACGGCTGAGAAGGACGGCGTCGAGCTCGCCCCCCGCAACGCCTACACCTTCCGGGCCGCCCGCTCCAGGATCCTCACATGGCAGGGCTGCGAGATCGAGGTCGACGGCCGCACCGACCACGACTCGGTCGCCCCCTACGCCAGCCCGGCCGACAACCCCGCCAACGCGCTCCTCAACCTCCACGCGCAGCTCAACGACATGCGCGCCGCCGCCGCCCGCGAGAGGAGGGAGGCGCCCCGGGTCCTCGTCGCGGGGGCCGCCTCGACGGGCAAGACGACCGCGGTGCGCACGCTCGCCAGCTACGCCACGCGGCAGGGCGGCCAGCCGCTCGTGGTCAACCTCGACCCGGCGGAGGGGATGCTGAGCCTGCCCGGGTCGCTGAGCGCGAGTGTGTTCGCGACGGTGATGGACCCCGAGGCCACGGACGGCTGGGGGGGCACGCCCACGAGCGGGCCGAGCACGGTGCCCGTTAAGCTGCCGCTCGTCTACTACTACGGGGCCAGGGAGCCCGAGAAGGAGCCAGACTTCTACAGAGAGCTGGCGAGCAACCTGGCGGGCAGCGTGAGCGCCAGGCTGAGCGAGGACGAGGACGTGAAGCGGTCAGGTGTCATTGTGGATACGATGGGCGTTGACGGGGAGAGCGAGCTTGGCGTCGACCTCCTATCTCACATTATTGAGGAGTTTTCCAGTAAGTGTTGCCATGGAAGTCGAAGATGGGGATAGCATGGGATCAATATATACTAACAGGGGGGTTCAGTCAACGTTGTCGTGGTCATCGGCACGCCATTACTTGAGCAGGAGCTCGCGAAGAGATTTACAAGCGTCAAGACGAGCCTGGGCGAGCCAATCGACATCGTCCTGCTGGACAAGTCGGACGGCGTGGCGCACCGGGACCAGAACTTCATGCAGCATGTCAGGGAGGCCTGCATCAAGGAGTACTTCTTCGGCGATGCTCGGAGAACGTTAAGTCCTCAGATCCAGCAAGCCGACTTCGACGGCTTGGTCATCTACAGGGCCTCTGAGAGTAAGTTCCCCACACCTCCTACACAGCTTGCCTTTCCTTCTTCTCCCTTTCCCCCCCCAACCCCCGCGCCCACGAGCTGCAGTGTGATGAGTGGTGCATTGGGCTAACTGTGGCAACCTGCAGTTGTCCTCAACGGATTCGCCCGTGAAGAGGCGTCGGTGGAGATGCAGCATTGGACGTTTGCCATAATGAGCGCCGGACCTCGAGACCTGCCCGATACAGTGCGGGCGTCCAGCGTCGTGGGCTTTGTGTACGTATCCGACGTGGACGAGGAGAGGAAGAAGATCAAGCTTCTTGCGCCTGTGAGTGGTCGGCTCGGCGATAAGCCGCTGGTCTGGGGAAGCTGGCCAGAGCCGTTCATCAACTTGCTGGGTTAAGAGGGAGGCTGGGAATCATGGTTTGGTTGTAGCGAAGGTCGTTGCCCGTCTTGCTATTGCCTCCCACCCCCAAAGAATTGGGTTTAGCAGCTCGCTTAGTTCAAGGATCAACCTGATTCGTACGCAAGGAAGTCAATATTTACGCTATTTAGAAAGGATCATGTCACTCTGGCGTCTACCCATGACTTTAGAGAGAGTTTGAAAGCAAGACATGGCAGAAGCGACGTCTCGGCAAATGCCCGAGGCGATGCGCTGGGTGAAACACACCAACATGTGCCGGCACATCTCACACCACGAACAGGCATTCTCTCCCATGCAGACTGACCATAATATGCCTGCGATGTAACGTGTTGAATAGTTCGGGCTAGTCTGTAGTAGGAGAGGAGCCGGCCGTGACACGTATTTGCGACGGACATTACCGGCGACCGGTAGGCCTTTGTGGTATACTTGCCGTTCCCGTCGGCAGATAATTCTCTCTTTCCCCTCCTTCGGAAGATATGTCGGTGCTCAAAATAAGCAGCTGGGGCAGGTGGAACATGATTTGATGGGGAAGTTTGGGGTTGGTCCCATCCCATCTGTTCTTGGGAGGGGCATGGCCCGGGGGGTCGTTTATGGTTAATGTTCTACTGAGCGGACGTTGCCCGAAAAAGGGATCATCAATTATGCTTATTGGCGGATGGCGTAGAATTAACTTTTGAGTAATTTTGGGATACTAATGGTGATTGTGGTGGGAGCTGTCTCAGTCTGCTGCCTGGAGCCGCATATCCTGATGGATAGACAGATGCTCTGGAATTACTGTCTCCTCAAGTTTCTAACGAGTCAGTCAACATAATGATCCTCGAACATTGAAGCATACTTCCTGAACTTGAGTTGGGTATATTGTGTAGTTATTTGGGTATGTTGTGTGGTTAGATCAATGGAAAGTAGTGTGTCATTCAAGAGGGGATACGCGTGATACCGTCACAGTGAGCCAAGAGCTCATCTTCCCTGAGGCCTCAAGTGGAGAGAGCAACAGAATGCTCGCATCATACCCCTCGTTGTCTCGTAGAGGTCCCACGTACCTGGCAAGCCTGGCATGCGTGGGATTGTCGTACAACTCTGCTACGGGCTTGGCCGCACGAAATGGGGAAACGAGACGCGCACATCGCTGTGAGGCCTCCGGGTGCCGGCATGACGCACGCCCACGCAATCACACGCCGCCCGCCTCTTGGGTGACACAGCCGGGCCAGGCGGCGACGGGCTCGGGTGGATGTGGCACTGCCCTGCTCGCCAGGGCCAATGCAGCAAGTGGGATACAGTACGGACATACGGCGCCGTCAAGTCGGCCTCTTCCATGTGGTTCTACGCGGGCCAAAACTAGGCGCCGGGTGCAAGGGTGAGACAAGGGCCCCTTCCAAATATCGGGACCCCTGGATGGTGAATGCTGGTATCCGGGTGCGAAAGCCCGAAGCGGTCACGAAACAAAAGGCTCAGCTTGATCGGAGCTCGCATCCGGGTAGATAGGCCGCTTCGTCTGGAGGAGCGGCGGTGCAAACGCTACACACCGCTTAGCGTGGATGCGTTTCTGGTCGTTGCTTTTTATCTTTCCTGTTGCCGCAAACATGGGAAAGGAAAAGTAAAACAAGAAAGTGATGTGCCACCTCGATGGAACAAAGACCTTTGGACCGGCTAGCGCAGGCGGTTTTCGTTTTCGTGATCTGAGGGGCGTGGCCGCAAAATCCATAACATCACGAGCCACGGAGTCTGTCCGTTGCTGGACTTGGCACAGCAACCCCCCGCCTTGGCCTTACTGGATACAACGATGCCGATGTTGTTCTGATCACCAAACACCTACCAAATGGAGGGGGCACCAGCAACCCCCTCATGACCCCATGATTTCCAGCTCTTGGTGGTTAATTGATGAAGACATGACCCGGAGGTGTAGGAGGTGGGGATGTGATTGGCCCATTGACCATGCCCTTGGCCAGACACTCAAATATGCTTAAACTTAGTGCCCCACGGCCGAAGCCATGGATGAAGGAGGGGCTCTGAGTTCGCGCTCAGTAATAGGGAGGTGGTATCCTTATCAGCGAGGTTGCGTGGGAGCAGCGAAGGCCGAGCCGAAGAATAGAACAGGTGTACTTTTCCCTTATCGCCCACACACGTGCCCATGGTTGGTATCGGCTGTTGCATGCATGAGGTGGCTTTTGCCTGCATCTCCTTTGACGTTTTTTCATGCACGAGCCGGCAGTGTCGTAAGACCACTTGCTCGGGAGGAGCTGCAATTGACTTCCACACATCGTGGATTAGCTTCAGCCATCGGAGACCGGGTGGCTGGCCGGCGTGGGAAGCCAGAGCCGAGGAGTATGCTTGCTGTTAGACGCAATACGCAATCCAATGGCAACAATGGTATCTTTCGGATTGGTGGTGGTGCCAATCTGCCCCTCCATCCTCCCATCATCCATGTTCTCGCGACCAGGCTCAAGTGGAGTGAGGGGCAGAGAGGAAGAGAGGGTCCCCTAGCAGGAGCGACGAGATTGACTGGAGAGGCTACACAGATCTCGACCAAATTTGGCAAGTGAACTATCTCGAGCATGAATTCGTGAATCGCACCCCGGCGTCTCTTGGTGATTATGTCCGTCCCTTGTCTTGTCTCTGTCGCTGATGCGGGTGTCTCGAGCCCTGCCACTCTGCTGTCATGTCTTGTCTGCCGGCGTGAATGTATTGATTAAAGGAAAGCGAAACAATAGGGATCGCCGCTGAGACGGCCAGGCTGAGACGGCTGGAATGCAAACCAAAGCATCATAATGCCGTGTTGCCCCTCAGAGCCTGGCTGATGAACGAGTGATGACGACTGAAGGCTGCACCTGTTCAGTCAGCGCACTTCTGGGTAGCACGGCCAATCAGCGCCCTGCAGGTCCACCCGCTAGCCGTCTCGTGACCTGCTAGCGCTGGCCAAACTCGGTGCGACACAGTCTGGCTGGACAGTGTGAGGCTGCCAGCCAATCATCCGCAACCGCCCTGTATCTGCTTGCTTACAGCGAGGAGCCCTCTGTCCTGTAGCAGGGTTGTCCGCTGTGAGGGTGGATCGTGATGGGTCAATGCTGGTGTGCATTCCTCCAGCCTCTGAGATAACGTAGAGCGTTCGCTGATGTCATGACACTTGTTACCGCCCACATAGGGAATGGAGCAAGGGGGAGAGGACAACGAAAAAGCAATGAGAGACACAATCAAGGCACGGGAGAAGATCGTCGTTCAGTTGCAGAATCCCATGTACAAACCGAGAACTTACCTTACCATTGACGTTTGGCCTCATGTGGGTGTTTGTTCGCGAAGTTTCTCCTAGGCTGTCCATCACTGACGAATGCCGGTGCTGATTGACCACTACAAGGGCCACGTGCTCAAGGCGCAGCAGCACAGCACTCGCCGCCTGCCGCTCTATTGCCTGGCGCACTGTGCAGGGACAGCCCGCCTGGAGTCTCGTCTCGGGAGGCGGCACGCAGGCACAGGTACCGCACAGTGCTGGAACGACGTGTACGTACCTGTCTGTGGCGGTGGGTAGGGGTGCCTTGGAGCGATGTGGGGGGAGGGGGCGTGCAGCAAATGGCAGCGTGCACTGCTGGTGGGGGGCATCGCGGGCTGCTAGGGGGAGCAAGCAGCCAGGAGTTAGCGGTCGTTGGCCGAATGCTCCCCTCCACACCCCCTGTAGCTCCGGCCTGCTCAGAACATGGGTGTTGCATCTGTTCTGGGAGGCTGTCTGGGTTGCGGCTTCCCAAGACGAGGTGTCACAGCGATTCACCTTGCTCGAGCCGGATCCCACATACTAACAGCATTCACACACCCACATTGCCATCGTAGTATGTACTAGCAATGCGTCTCGTCTGTCGTGGCGCAAGGATAAAGAGCCCTGTCTCCCGCAAGCGTCCAACGACTCTTCCTTCTTTCTTTCTTTCTTCTCTCCTACCTATCTTGCCTTTCTTAAGGTTAAATCCTCCCCTCGATCGACTTCTTGTCCGTCGCCTCTGCACGAGCCCAACCAGCCTTGTCGCGTGACCACCTCCAACGCTCCCCTGCCACTGAGTAAGCCGTCGCTTGCTCTCCCCCGCTGCCTACCTTTGACGCCTATACCCATTCGATGGGAGAAACCGAAGTTCGTAGTACGAATGGTGCAGACCACGCCAACTCCTCTTCGGACTCGTCGACCGTCGGCAATCCGGACGACCAGCCTCCTATAGCGGGTCTACCAGAATTAGCCATAGAGAAGCCAATCTGCCCTCATACGCTTTCCGCCCAGCGTGTTGCTGAGAGTCTCTCCAGCCACATCGACCATGGGTTAAGTAGCGAAGAGGCTGCCGCCCGCCTTGCCCGGGACGGCCCAAACTCCATCAAAGGTGCCAAGGGACTCTCCCTCTGGGAGATCTTCCTGGCCCAAGTCGCCAACGCCCTCACCGTTGTCCTTATCGCCGTGGCAGTCCTTTCCTTTGCCATTAACGACTACGTCGAGGGTGGCGTCGTATGCGCTGTGATTGTCCTCAACATTGTTGTCGGGTAAGTCTTGATTTCCGTTGCTCGCGTGCTCCCCTACGCCTCAATATTGTTCAACATTGTGCTGTATCTCGTGCTAACATGCCTCAGACTGATCCAGGATTACCGTGCCGAGCAAACGATCCAGTCCCTGTATGCCCTGTCCACCCCCAAGTGCAAGGTTATTCGCGATGGTGTCAATGAAACAGTAAAGGCCGAGACACTCGTCAAGGGTGATCTCGTTGTTCTCGCTACTGGAGATGTCATCCCTGCCGATTTGCGTCTGATCCAGGGTATCAACCTGGCCACTGACGAAGCCCTTCTCACTGGTGAATCCATTGCTATCTCCAAGAAACCCGAGGCTGTCTTTACCGACGCCGACATGCCCATTGGTGATCGCACCAACCTCTGCTACTCCGGTAGCTCTGTGACACGTGGTCGAGGAACTGGACTAGTCATTTCCACCGGTATGAAGACTGAAGTCGGCCAGATTGCCG